TCCGAAGGTGTCAGTTCAGCGATGAAGTCTGCTACGGCTTGTCCCTTTTCGGCAGTCCTAGGTTTGAACTGCACGTCGAATTCTCCTAGCTCGATCGCCCATTTCACCAGTCTTCCGGATGTTTCTGGTTTTTGAAAAACTTGCCAAAGGGGCTGGTTGGTTAGAACGATGATGGTGTGGGCCTGAAAATAGGGCCTTAACCGCCGGGCAGAAACGACCAGAGCTAAAGCCAGCTGCTCGAGCGGGGGATACCGAGACTTTGCCCCCTGAAGTGCCTTACTGACGTAGAAGATCGGCAGCTCTGCCTTCTCTGGGATCCGTATCAGTACAGAGCTGACGGCAGTGCTGGATACCGATAGATATAGAGAGAGCGTTTCTCCAGGGAGGGGTTTCGATAGTAGCGGTGCTCGGCCCATGTAGTCCTTCAAGTCTTGAAACGCCTCATCACATTCGGCAGTCCACTCTATATGGTGTTTGCCCCCTTTCAGGGCTTTGAAGAACGGTGCACATTTGTCTGTAGCTTTGGAGATGAAGCGAGTGAGGCCTGCCACTCGTCCGGTAAGGCTCTGGATGTCCTTTTGTGTCTTCGGCACCTCCATGTTGATTATGGCTTTGATTTTATCGGGGTTTGCCTCAATACCTCTCTGGCTGATCATGAAAACGAGGAATCTTCCGGAAGATACGCCGAAGGCGCACTTCGTCGGGTTGAGTCTCATTCGGTAATCCTTCAAGATGCCGAACATGAGCGATAGGTTTTTCAAATGCTCCCCTGCCGTTCGGCTCTTTACTAGCATGTCATCTACGTAGACCTCCATGGTGCTACCGATCTGCTCAGCGAAGATTCGGTTGACCAGTCTCTGATAGGTTGCCCCAGAGTCGTTCGGCCGACAATCACGTTATACGCCGTAGGACAGTCTACCACAAGGAACTGGTCGTAGACCATGGTTCTTCGTGGTGCTGTGCCGAAGGCGATTGGCAAGCTGATACTACCGATTGGCTGGACCAGGTCTCCTGAAAAGCTAAGGAGAGGCGAGAGTTGCCGATTGACTTGGCTGTCGTCAATTCCGAGTTCTTTGAATGCATCGGCAAAGATGACGTTTACCGAACTGCCATTGTCGATTAGGATTCGTCCGACATCGAACTCGGCAACGTCGGCTCGGATGATCATAGGGTCGTTGTGTGGGTAGATGATCCCTTCCTCTTCTTCTTCGGAGAAGGTGATGGGTTCCCACCTGACCTTCGGCATCTTTGTATGCCGGCTGCTTTCAATGCCGAGGACTTGGGGGTATTGTGCCGCCCTGACATACTGCTTTATCGAACGGTTGGATGCTCCGGCAAGGGTTAGGCCTCCGCTGATGGTGCTGATCATGTTGATCTGCCGATTAGCGTTCGGGACTGGCGCCTGCTGAGGTTTGGCTATGTATTGATCCAGTTTGCCTTCCCGAATTAACCACTCGACGATTTTTCGCAGGCTTATGCAGTCCTCGGTATTGTGGCTGTTCTGCTGGTGGTATCGACAAAACTTCCCTGTATCCCTACCGTCTTGTCGACTGGGCTTTCGGAATGCTGGCTTCGGGATTATCTCGTTTTCGTTCATCAGCACTGCCTCGTAGGAGGTGTTGAGCAGGGTGAACACCTATGTTCCTTGGTTATGTGCCGTTAGTGGGGCTCGGTAGTTGTCCCTGCCGTACCTGCTCTTGTTTTTCTTGGAATGCCCCTTTTGGGAGCTTCCGGCATCTTTGCGTTTGTGACTTTCAGAGTACGCCGCAGTCTGGGTTGGTGGTGCGTACGGCGATGCCAGTGCCGTGGAGGGGCGCTGTACTGGTTCGCTCTGCCGAACCGTGGGCTTGGCCCTCGAGTTGAAGTATTCAGCCTTGGGGTGGATTGCCGCTTGCTTCATGAGTTCATCATACGTACGCCAATTGCTACTGTGTACCAGATACCAAAAGTGTGAGGACCGTAGGCCACTCTTGAAGGCGCCGTAGGCTGCCCCGTCATCGGTATCCGGGCATCTCGAGTACTCGTGGCTGAATCGTGCGGCATACTCGCGCAATGGTTCGTCATCCCTCTGCCGGATGGTATACAGATCATCGGCAGAGTACAGTCTGTCTGTCTGAATCATGAAGTGGTTCAGGAAGATTTGCTTCAGCTCGTCGAAGGAGTCGACCGTCCCTGGTTCCAGACGGTAGAACCAATTCAGAGCTGCTTCTGTGAGTGAGGAAGGGAACAGAAGGCAAAGGCCTTCGTCGCTTAGCCCTCGGCACCCTACTGCCGATTGAAAAGAATGAAGGTACGTCAATGGATCCTCCACCCCTGTGTAGGGGGTTATGCGGAGGGGCTGCACATCCCTATCCTGCCGTGAGTGCCTTATGCGCTCGGTGAAGGGTCCTGGCTGAAGCCTTCCCCAGTCTGGCTCCTGTGAACGAGTCCGATCGTCCTCCATCTTCTGTACCCTTTGAAGGAGGAGGCGGATGACTGGATAAAAAATAGAAAAAGTAGATTATGAAATATTAGAAACTCTGTTTGCAGCCACTCTCCCCTTCGAGTGAAATGTATCCATCCCATTCTCACGGCATGCCTAAGCGCGCGTCGGAGCGAGGTGGAAGGAAATCGCTTGAGGCGTTATTCTATTTAGCAAGTTGCACGTTTAGCGTGACGAGGTGTTGTTAGGCGGACGAAGCGCCATTGTTCTGCAAGCGGCTGCGAGAGGAAGAAGATGACCTCACGTGTTTTTTTCAGGGTTCGTTGGGAATGAAACGACTTCGTTTCATATAGTTAATGAAACTCACGTTCAGCACTGGGATTACATAAAGAAACGCACGTTCAGCATGCCTTTTTTTATAATTTTTAAATCATGATTTTTTGTTTTTAAACAAACAACAGACCTAACGCCTCCACTTAAATCATGATTTTCTTTTCTTTTTTCCTTTCTAAATTAATATATTAACATGGACCTATATATATATATATTTAGTATAACCTTTGTTGACGCCAAAAAGTGGTTCTTTGACTTAGAGGGTCAACTTAGTAAATTTGTGTCTTCGGTAGACTTGATGCTTCGGTAGACTGTGCGATCTGCAATAAAAGTAAGCGCACGGTAAGACCTAGGGCACCGGTGTGGTACCGGCCGAAGGCTCTCCGATGCTTAAGTAAGTTCTGGAATAGAAAGTTCAACTGACAGATCAATAGGCTTGTGTGCCGTAAGTTCTGATTACCTCCATTTTGGGGATGATTGGCCTCCTTTTATAGGTCTTGGGAGGTGTGCATTTTGTTGATTATTTCGATGTGGGACTGTGGGCGTCGCTTGGGAGCGTGCCACGTGTCCCGGGAGAGGGTGTTGCCCTAATGGAGATATCGGTAGGTAGAGTGCCGAGGGCGCCTCTGACCAAGCCCAGTTTTCTCCACGTGTCCTGCTCTTATTGGCTGTTTATTTTGGGTGTAAACAACCTTAATATATGAACTGAATTGTCTTTTTGCTTTTGTTTTAGATTTAGGGATTGATTATTATGCATGAATGAGACCATTAGTACTTATATTTGATTATACTTAATACATTATTAGGGTTCAATAATAATTAATAGTACAATTTAATTGTGTATTGTATTATTTATAAATTTTTTTGTTAAAATAAATTAATGTTTGAAAAGTTCACCTCGCATAGCACAAATAAAAACACCTCACCTCTCCCTTTGTTTCTCTTTTTGAAATTACTGTGAAGCAGAGGTTTCGAGCCTATTTCTTGATAACTCCACATTTCCTGCAAAAAGAAAAAGAAAACTGCATTAATTTTCTGCATAGGCGCGTTTTAGTGGTCACCCAAATTTGACTGCACGTGCCACTTTTATCAAACTACAGAAAAGTCTTATAAACAAAAAAATACAAATACAAACTTTGACTCTTAGTCCACCTCTGCCCCGCTGATCCGTGAGAAATTCATCTTCTCCTTTTTCAAACTTCAAGAATTTCTAACATCTTTTTGTGCTGGTGGTTATCAGAAGAACTACCTCAATTGACAGTTTCTATTTCCGTGCCCAAATTTATCCCCGTGTCTCTTTTCTTTTATTGGTCTTGGGCCTTTTTTAGTAGCCAAAGGTAGTGGGAATTCCAACTTTGTATCTCTTCTGTTCTTTTTTTTCTTTATTTTTAGTAGAAACGATAGTCTAAATTTAGGAAGGGGATTTCTCTCACACACACAAATGATGTCATGGGAATTTGAACCTGAAACCTCTTGTCTGCAAGTTAAGGCTCTTTTCCATTGGACTAGACCCCGTTGGCTTTTTTGGAAACAAGCGATAGTATAAACGAAGAGGGCAGGGGGACTATCTCTTCTAATTTTGAAAGCAGGAGTACACCACAAGCTAGTTGGTGGAAGAAAAAAAAAAATTATTCAAAAGACCCACCATTGAAATCTTGGCAGAACCATGTATGAATCAAAATGTGAAAGTCTTCTGTGTCCCATTCGTTGAATATTTCAAAGGCCTACAACTGAAAACCAAATATGCATCCAATACTGCTTCCATGTCCCTTTTTCTATTTTTAAATTTGTATTGGTTTGTCTCTCACCCTGAGCCTTCCCAAATATGCATCCCCTACTGCTTCTATGTCCCTTTTTCTACTTTTAAATTTGTATTGGTTTGTCTCTCACCCTGAGCCTTCCCAACAAATATGCATCCCCTACTGCTTCAATCGTTGTTTCCTTTGCTTTTGATCACTTCCTTTCTTTCGGTCAACGTTGAGTTAAGTCTAGGCCAGGACAATGAACAATACGCAAACTGCGGTGAGGATATTAACTGCGGTGGCGTTGGAGGCATCACGTACCCCTTCTGGGGAGTAAACCGAGCTAATTACTGTGGTCTGCCAGGGTTCGGGGTCAAATGCGTAGACAACACCCCCATGATCAACATGTCGAATATCAACTACAGAATTCTTAAAATGAACTCTATTGCTTCGTCTGTTACGGTTGCTAGGCAGGACTATTGGAAAACTATCTGTCCTCTTACTTATGTCAACACCAACATCAACTTCTCTCTGTTTAGTTATACTTCTGAGGTTACAAACCTGACCTTTTACTACGGGTGCAATACAAGTGTCCCAGGGCTTACTTCTAGTTCCCAAGTTTGCAGTACGAACAAAGGTAACATCACTGTTTCGTATGTCACACAAAGTCCCCCAAGTGATCCAGTTGCTACTGGCGCCTGTAAAAATGGGGTCATTGTTCCGGTTTTTACAACAGCTGTTGTGGCTCTAGAGGCCAATCAAATGACTATTGGCGAAGTAGTAGATGGGGGATCTGAATTGGACTTGGAGATTGATGATGATCAATGTAACCGTTGTGTGGAATCAGGAGGGAAGTGTGGGCTTAACACTACTAATGGTGGATTCAGTTGCTTTTGCCATGATCAGGCCTATGCAACCATATGTAATACAACTTCACTCGGACGACAAGGTATGCCTGCCCTTTGTCAATTTCTTATAAATTACAGATTATGAGTAAGATGTTAGAAGATTTTGAAGTCATTGAATTCCAGGTCTGACAAAACTGGGGTCGGGAATTGGGAATTCTGTGCTATTTTTGGTCATTTTAATTTCCTTTTTTTTTGGGGGTAAAATACCATGAGGTGTCCGTCTTTTTTTTTCTTTTTTTTTTTCTGAAAAGACGCGTTTTAGTGGTCACCAAAACTTTCATTGAATATTTAACAAGAGCGATTGGATTGAAATTGTAATTGAAACTATATCCGAATGGACATTACGAAAAGTCTTATATTGACTGGCTATTAGAGAGTAGCTATTCGTCTATCTTTGATGAAATTAAGCATAGAAAAATATAAATTCAGAATGATGAAAAGTTAGTGAAAAATCCAGCAGCTTGAGCGAGGTTTAGTCAAGTTTTGGACATAATTTATGTGAAGCACTCAAAACCTACGTGATTTTGGAGACCCCTTTTATGATTTAGCCCTATACCCACATGGCCACTATTGATGGTTGAAAATGGTTACCACCCACCACCAACTATCATGTGACGCCATTTTCATTTTATTTAATTTAAATAAAAGTAAGGTGCAACTTAGAGGACTTGAACACATGACCTCAACTTCACACAAGATGACACTTAAACACCCAAGCTATGCCTTATTTTGTACATTTTTTTTTTTTTTGGGGTAAAACCTTACTTTGTACTTAGTTTTCCCATGGTCGCATTGCAAATTTTCATCCGAAAAACTCTTATGAGTTAACTTTCTTCTGTGCAGGTTCACGGAAAGAATTGGCCGTAGGTGAGTATATATGATATAAATAGAAAATACCAGAAGTTTCGATCTTTGTTTTCTTTCACAAATCACAGAAATGCATATAACTTGAACAATTTTTCCATATATAGGCATTGCGGTTGCTGTTCCGTCGATCATCATAATCATTTTTTTTACTATATGCATAACAAGGAAAAGAATATTGGCCTTCTTCAAGAAAGATAAAAGGGATGATGAGTTTGAATTTGATGTTGAGGCACGTATTAGGAACTATGGATCGTTTACTCCAAAGAGGTATAGTTATGCAAATGTCAAGAAAATGACAGACTCGTTCAAAGATAAAATAGGTAAAGGTGGATATGGAACCGTGTACAAAGGCAGGCTACCTGATGGCCTTCTCGTGGCGGTCAAAGTCCTAAGCGAGTCGAAGGGTAACGGGGAAGAATTTATTAATGAAGTTGCTAGCATTGGTAGAACTTCCCATGTCAACATAGTCACTCTTTCTGGATTCTGTTATGAGAGGGACAAAAGAGCTTTGATTTATGAGTTCATGCCTAATGGATCTCTGGATAATTTCATACATAAGCACGGTTCTGAAATGACAAATTGTCGCTTAGAATGGAAAACACTATCTGAAATTGCAGTTTGCATTGCACGAGGACTAGAATACTTACACCGTGGATGTAACACGAGAATTCTGCATTTTGACATAAAGCCACAGAACATTCTTTTGGATAAAGATTTTTGCCCAAAAATCTCTGATTTTGGCCTTGCCAAATTATGCGAAACAAAGGAGAGTATTGTATCGATGATAGGTGCGAGAGGAACTGCAGGATACATAGCACCAGAAGTTTTTAGTCGGAGCTTTGGAGGCGTATCTCACAAATCTGATGTGTACAGCTACGGGATGTTGATTCTTGAAATGGTTGGAGCAAGAAAGAATTTGGATTCGGGAGTGTCTCGTACGAGTGAAATATTCCCAAATTATGTTTATAAAGATCTAGAGCTACACAAGGCTGAACATATATTTGGGGATATATCTGAGGAGGAAAAAGAAGTAGCAAGAAAGATGGTATTAATAAGCCTGTGGTGCATTCAGACCATTCCTTCTGATCGGCCATCAATGACCAAAGTTGTGGAGATGTTGGAAGGACCCCTTCATTCCTTGCAAATCGCACCCAAGCCTTTCTTGTTTTCTCCTACAATAGTTGCAGAAGACTCTGTCACCACATCCCAAACCATCTGAAACAGGATAAGGCAATTAGCTTCGTCAGCAGATCTCTATTAATTAGGAAATTCCAGCTAAGTTGTAAGAAATTTGGCTTGGGAAAATGAAACAGCTTTCATTATGAAGCTCCCCCCCACCTCATGCAGGTTATTCTTCAGTTTGCTGGTGAATGGTTTGACATCAATAAGGTGACTAATGTTAATCATGCTAGAGAGGTTATCCAAGTTCTTTGGCAGCCTCCCTCCCTTGGAAATGTTAAATTGAATGTGGATGGTAGCTGCAAAATCAACTCTGGTTTAATATGCGCTGGTGGGCTGCTGAGAAACGCAAATGGAACTTGGATTTGTGGTTTTTCAGCTAACCTCGGATTTGGAACTATTTTGGAGGCTGAGTTATGGAGTCTACTCAGAGGCTTGCAAATGGCTTGGGCTAAAAACATTAGATCCCTTGATATTGAGACTGATTCAATGACAACTGTCACCTTGATAACCAAAACCTGTGAGCAATCCCACCCTCTATTCTGCTTGATTGAAGACTGCAAGGACTTAATGCATCGCAACTGGAGTTGCAACATCTCTCATATTTACAGGGAACAAAATAGAGCTGCTGACCTGCTTGCCAATATGGGGCATGAGCTTCCTTTGGGTATGCACCACTATGATTCTGCTCCTGATCATCTTACCAGCACTTTGCGGGATGATGATCTAGGGAGGGCCTATGATAGGGTTGTGCCTGTTTAGCTTTTCTTCTTTGGCTTCTGCCATCCTTGTAACCAAAAAAAAAACAGCTTTCATTATCCGAAATGAGAATGTAAACTATTTTTTTATTAATTCAACTGTTTTTGTTTTTTCAATTGTTAAATACTTCGGAAAGCATATTTGTTCAGCAAAACAGAAGATAGCTTTCAGATATGAAGACAGATTTGGTAATTGTTTTTTTCTTTTTCAATGAAAAGTAAATTGTGAAAGATTAGAAACTTTGTTTCCATGCTTTATTTGGTTGAATTTTTTGCTAATCCCAAACAGCGACGGTCCTATGTTTTGAAGGCCCTAGGCGAACATCCTAAATGGGGCCTTCTACTCTATATGTATATTGATGTGATTTTGTTTTTGGTAAGTTAAAAAAATACTATATATATGAACTAAAATTCACAATTGTAACATAAAATAAAAAATCAATATGTAATTTACACAACAACTTTATAAAATGAATCAAAACATCACTTAAATATCACTCGTCTTACATTTTCCGATTCAAAAGTATCAATTAACTTTACATAATCAAGTTTTTCTACCATGTATTTTTCAATTTCCTAATTGATTCAACTAGGTTGATTGATTTAAGCTATAAGTTTAAAAAATAATTGGTTCTTTATTGAGTTTCTCCTTTTTAATTTTGATTGAGTAATTGGGCAAGTCTTTTTTCTTTTTCCTTTTTACAATGAGTGGGCCTTTATTGATTTTTCCTATTTTTAATTTTGAATTAAATGATTAGGTAAGTTTTTTATATTTACAATAATTGGTTTGGGCGCAACATAATATTTATATAAAAAAAAATTATTTAATAATTGGTTTGGCCGCAATTTTTGGTGCATCTAGGATCAGGGGAGGTCCTGGCTTAAGCAGGCAAGGCGGCCGCCCAGGACCCCTAAATTGGGAGGGCCCCCAATTTGTAAGTTTTTGTATATAGGGTATTATACAAATTGGGGGCCCTTCCAATTTAGGGGCCCTAGGGGGGCCTTGCCTGCTTATGCTCAGGACCTCTCCTAATCCCAGATGCACCAAACTATTGAGTGTAAGCTTAAGACATCGGGTATATAAGTGTTGATTTTTCAATTTTAAGATGAAGATCATGTATAATCTTTTCATACCAATCCCAATAGCATAAGTCATAAAATTTCTGGAGTTTTGCAAGAGCGAGGGTGACAAGGGGCATTTTACCATAAAGAAGACGCCACAACAAAACAGAGCCGCAAAGAGGATGAATAGAACTCTTATGGAGCCTGAGCGGTGCATGAGGATTTATGCCGACTTGCCCGAGGCATTTTAGGTTGAGGCAGTTATAGGGGCTTTTTCGTTCCGGCAGCTACTGCGGGCCTAGGCTGCCGTTAGGAGCAAATGGGTGAAATTACCCCATGTGTCTGAGTTCAAGAATCAGACCCCAAGAATGCTTCGAAAGGTTAGTGGAGCCTTAGGAAACACATTGGTCTCCTTCACCAATGAAACCAACAATTGCTTACAGATAAATTTTCTAGCTTGACATGAGAGGCTTGTGGCATGGGAGCAAAGCAATCACGAGTTTAGCATTAAAGAGAGAGAGAGCTGTGAGTTCCTATGAGAAACAGGGGTTCCAAGGAAAGGGGGAAGGTATTTTGGAAGGATTTGTTGAAGAAAGAGAGAAAGAGGAAGAAAGGTGGGTGTGTTGAGCAGTTTCCGGCAGCTCGACGAGAGCTCTGTCAAATTTTGGAACAGTCTAACAGGAGCGAAAATGGGAGGAAATGGAGGAATAGGGCACGAAATTGCAGGGTTTTGTAGGTGAGAGAGGAAGCTTGCCCTCCATATGTGGGTTGGTTTTGATGGGTAGAAGATGGCTCCTTTTATAGCTGCTGGAAGCCTTCCTTTCCCAAGAAACCCTAATGGTTTCTCTCCCATTTTGCTAAGTCTCCCCTTTCCTTTCCCTTCACTTTCTTCGACTCACCCCCATTTGTGAAACCTTTTTTTGTCCAAACACACAAAGACAAGGTTTTTGGGAGCTCTAAGGCTTTTCCCGCAGCTTCTTTAGTGGTGAACACCATTTTTGGTTATCACCTCACCTTCTTTCCTTCCCTCTTCTATGGCCAGACCTGGTGGAGAGGCTCCCAGCAATCCACTCACATGGGTAGCTTTGGTTTTGTCGTTGTTTTTGTTTCCAGCTAAATGCTGGAGAGATGGCAGATATTTTCCTTGGTTACTTGGGCCTCTCTAGGGTGATGGGTTATTTTATTAAGGTGAAGGGCTAATTTTTCTAGAGTATTGGGCTTCATTTTCTCTCTCTTTTATGCTTACCCACATATTTGGGCTCAAGAAATGAGCTTGAGTTTTGGGCTCCTAAGAAACCCAAAACTTCCATTTCTCGGCTCATCAATGGGCCTCATGAAAGCTTGTTACCATCCATACCACAACCCACTCAGCAAGCCCCGGGCATTTGCGTGGCTTGGGCCCACTTAAGTTTGTAGCGTGGCTAGGTGTAAAATAATGATCTTCCGCTTGGCATGGCATGTAGATTGGCGTGCTCGAATTTTATCGCCTTTGAAAAGGGATATAATGCTTTACGGGATAATTAGCATGGGCTTTGTAGAGCTAGTGCCTTTTATAGGCTTATTTCAATTCTTAGCGTGACGAATTATTTATTTGGCATGACACGTAAGCTGTGGCTCATGCGAGCGTGCATGACAGACTTTCGCGTGCTCCAAGTCGGGTTTTTCTTAATAAGGCGTCGTACTGGGCCAGGAATTTATTCGGGCCCAACCTTGGATTTTTTGGGCCTCAACAGCAGTTAACCACACTTCCTATTTGGTTAATCGGTCGCCATCAAAGTATCTTTATTTCAAGTGTGCGAAAGAGGTATGGTCTAATAAGTCTATTGAGTATACTAATATTAAAGTATTTGGATGCAGTGCTTATGCTCTCATACCTAGTGATGAGAGAACCAAATTGAAACCAAAGTCTCTTGAGTGCATTTTCCTCGGCTTTGAGAGCGGTGTGAAAGGTTTAAAGTTATGGGATCTAGTGAACCAGAAGAAAATACTCAGTAGAGAAGTAGTGTTTGATGAGAAGACCATGCTTATGATTAAAATCAAGATACCGGAGGCAAAGGAGGATGTTGTTGGCATAAAGACAACCGTTAGTATCACACCGCGGAGAGTATTCGGGGATACTCCAAGAATGTAACCAATTGAAGACGTTCATGAGGCGGTGGAGTCTAACACTAAGGTGGAGGAACTTGGGCAACAACAAAAAACTCAAGATGAAAAAGAAGAATAGGCTCAAGATCAGGTGGAGCCGCCATCTATAGCTAGGTCCAGGCCCAAGGGAACCATCAAACCTCCTCAACGGTTTGGATGGGAGACGGACGCAGTTCACTATGTACTAAACATGAGTGAAGGGGATCTAACCACATTCCAAGAAGCTGTTAAGAGTTCAGAGTGGGAAAGTTGGATGGGTGCCATGATAGATGAGATGGAATCTCTGTTAAGCTCATAATTTCATACATATACATGCCCAAATTTACTTACTTCTTTTGCTTAGTTTCCTATAATTTTGAGTTATTTGCCTCCCTTTGTGTGTTTTGTAGGCCAAAGGAGCATGAGAGCATAATTCATGCAATACAAGCATGTTAAGGCCTAATTTGGAGGAAGGGAAGAAGAGCTAAAAGACAAACTCATTTTTGGCTACAGCCCCCTGCCAGTCCAGTTCCGTAGGTCATCTTGCAAGCTTTGTTTCAGCAACCTACACAGCTCGGATGAGGCAGCATCCTTCATGAAAGTTGTTCCAATGGGTGTGTACTATTACATATCCAAATTTCAGCCTCATTGGATACATCTGGAGTCCGTTACCTAGCAAACACAGACCCATGCTCAGGATGGATTTTTGTCAGCGAGCAAAACGAGTTAACAATTTGTTTTGTCCTTAACTTCTTCATCCGAGCTTGGAATGGGCCAATACTTGTGTGGTTGGATCAGACACATTCTGAACTTCACAATGGACAGCTTAAAGT